TCGGCTAGTATTCTCCTTTTGAATCTATTCACCGATTTTAGGGAGTTAGGGGTTACTTTTATAGCCTAGAGTTTCATCCATGCAAACCCTAATTCACCTTGACTCTTCACATTTCATAGGCCTTTTGGGCTAAAGCTTCATGAACTCTCATAAAGGTTTAGTCCACCCTAATCAACATGGATCATTGGTCCAAGCTATAAGTATTACTGATTTACCTAATCAGTCCCCGTAAATTTAATCAATCTCTTTTGATCACTAAATTAATTTCAAATTAATTCTTGATCAATACTAATTAAATAATGTGATTTCTCAATTAATATATTATACTTATAATATATTAATAAATCACAAATAACCTCTTTCTCAAATATCCATCCTATCAAATTGTTCCAGTGAATTGCAACCCAAATGGACCATGCTACTATCGGGTCAAGTATATACCAATTATAGTTATGGGCTTAGACACCTAATCCAACATCTTCCTGTAGGTGATTGGAAGTGAGTTGAAGCTGGTAGAGTTCTTCGTTACTACGTTGGTTACCTACGCGCATATCGAGGTGAGTTCCACCTCACTGTACCTGTGGGTCGAAGGCACCAATGCTGACCCACTAGTTTTGGTTATCTGTTAGTAGAGGAATGTCTTAGGGACTGTATATATAGTCATGTAGGGTAAACTGAGAACTCTTGATATAAGCTCTTTTACCTGTTCATTGTTTGGTTGTGGTTCTAGAGTAGGATCACATGTTTGCGTGACTATCTCACCTCATAGTATATACGACCATGCATTCCTTGGATTGTTGATATTTAGTAAGATGCTATGCTGTAGTGATCAGTTAGATCGGTATTCTGGTATCGAGTATGTTGTTATGTTGTAGTGATATGTTAGATCTGTGTTCTGGTTACGAGTATGTTGCTATGTTGTAGTGATATGTTAGATCTGTCTCCTGGTATCGAGTATGTTGCTTTGTTGTAATAATTTGTAGAACTGTATGTTATCTATGCTTGCTGGTTATCATCTATGCATTGCCCTTAGGGATTATCGGTGGTCATGTAGGATAGTATGAGAACTCTTGGTCTTGGCTTTCTTGTCTGTTCCTTGTTTGGTTGTGGCTCTAAAGTAGGATCATCTGTTCGGGTGGCTATCTCATCTCTGGTTACTTATGGTTACACATTTCATGGAGTTTAGCTGGTAGCGGGACCGTATGTTGTGAGACGACTAGTAGGCAGTAGTGAGCTGTATGATTGATGTTGCCTGTATTTTGTGCCTACTTGATCCTTGATTGTTTACATGTCGACATGTTGTGTTTGGTTTGGGTTGAGGCAGTCCTGCTTTGTGTTGTAGGCCAAGATACCTGGTGCGGGTCGGCTGTAAGTCGTAGGAACGGAGGCTCAGTATGAGCGGTTGGGTTGAGACGGTAAAGCCAATAAACCCGATATAGTTGGGCATTCCAGTCCGATGGTTGATTGGGCCCGAGGGTATTTCAACCTGGGGTATTCCATCGCGAGGATAACTGGACCCGGAGGTTGACTAGGTCTGGGGTATTCCAACTAGATGGTTGATTGGACCCAACATGTTTGATTGTATATGTTATCGTTCCAGGTATCATCAGTGTCTATGGGAAGGCGAAGGAGGAACTGTACACACTCATCAACAACATTGAGGATTTCACGTTTATTATAATACTCTAATTTTAATAAATTGTAATTGAGAATAATGGTTTTCTTAAAAATGGTTTTATAATTGAGGAGTTTTACTTAAATAAAAATGAAAATTTTGGCCGTGAAAATGGGACCTTACAATGTATAGTGTAAAACTACTATTATCATGGGGGCCATTAATTAAAAATAAATTTTAATTATGAGTTTTCTATATAAAATATATGTAAAAAAACATGTTAAGTGGGGTGCATGCACCCCACTAAAACCCCCTGTGTCCGCTGCTATCCGCTACTATCCGTTACTGAGTGGACTTGACATAGTTTGATATGTATTAATTTTATTTTGGAATTGAATATGAAGTACGGATTACATCTAGTTATGATATGATCATGAGACGTGATTATTGCACACACTTTCCCTTTCAAGCGGTAGTGTTTATTTTGTACTACATCGTGTAATTTTAGGTTGTTGCTAAAAAAATTCAACGATGAGACGTGTGGATGTATGTGTGGACCCATACATACCCTCACAGACACATGTCACATCATTTGGGGTTCATTTGAGATCCCTTAATATTTATATATAAAATAATCAAATGAAAATATGTTAAATCCGTAATTAACAATTTTAGCGACAGGTAATTTTTAGACCGTAAAATCTTCCACTGAAAATTTTAGTGATTAAAAGTAGATGAGCCCTAATATGAATCATTTGCTTTTCTCCAACGGTTTACTGAATAAATAACATCCTTTCTGCTGACAACCTTTACTCCATAGCGCATCAATTTATCCACATATTACTGGATTTTTTTAAAAACAAAAGGAAAAAAAACAAGTCGTCACCCGGTGTGTACTTGTGTAAAATCTTCATTAGGAATAAATTAAAATTTTGTTAAAATAAATTAATTATTTAATTAAACAAAAAATAATGGAATATAATAATAATAATAATAATAATAACTAGAAAAATGACCCCGCGTTGCAGGGGTCGGATTTCGATTAAACCATTTCCAAAAGGAGTTTACGTGGACTAGATAGTTTATTGATTATTCGGGGGGTAAAATGTTTAAAGGGTAAAGTCGACTGGCTTTGCTTGTAGAGTGCAAGTCAAGTAAAAACCAATGTCATTGTCATACGATCAGCGCCTCTGTCTAAGGTTGAATAAGAGATTCTGAAAAATCAAACGGCGGAAAACAAATAACCATTAAAAGAATCAAACCTCTGTACTTTCATTTTTACATTTACTGCTTTATTTTCAATCCTTCTATTATTTACGCATCGTATTTTGAAAAATCTTTCTGCCAAAAAAGAATTAGGGTAATCACCTGGCTATACTCGAACAAACTAAATGCTTTCCCACTTGATTCATCAAAATCAGCTTCACTCATTAGCTCTTGTTGGTGAACACACAACAACAAAAGAGAATCGATAAAATTCAGTTGTAACAATAAAAAATCAAAATCAAAAGTCGTCCTTTTGACACACAACCATATCAAGTGATAGAAAACCAAAAAAAAGTCAAAAGTACATTGCCTAAATATGCTAAAAATGACACCAGGTGAGTGGAAACGCAAAAAGAATACGTTACCCTTTCCAAAAAAAGGTTCCAAATAACAGAAAACCAAACAATAAATTGAAAGTACATTGCCCTAAATGATACCTAGTTTAAAATGTTAACAAAAATAGTCCCATTGTTGAGATCGACATATTATTGTTGACTGAAGGACAACAATACGGATGTTATTCTGAGAATTTCTATAAATCTTGACATTCCACTCTTAAATCCAAGATTACTGGTCTCTTAAAACAACATGTTTGGCAGAGTAGTGAATGTACAACATGAAAACAATTAGACGTATAATATTTAATCAAAAATAGAAGAAAAAACGCCTAAAATTTAAGACATATTGAAGAATCAGTAGCTCAAAAGATACTCCATAAATGTAATTACACATCAAAAACATCATCATTTTTATGTAAACCTGTCATAACTGTGCATGAAGAATGAGATGCTTAAAAGAAAAGACAAACAATTGATGTGAGAATACATGTTCAATGGTCATCTTGCAATGATCATCTTGAAAGACTTCACTTCGGGATGTGGTGGTCCAAAAATATAATAGTTTTAGGTCTTAAATTAGAAAAAAAAACAATCAAACGGATAATGAAGTAGAAATAAATAAATTGACACGTACACCAAAATAGAAATCGGGTCAATTGTATAGAGGTGATAGAATAAAAAGGCTTATTATTTGGTCATTGTTAGAAAGTATTTATTACTATTTATCAATTTAATAAAAGATCCAATATAATATATCATTTTTTTGCTTTATTTACAAAAAAAAAGTAATAATAATAAAAAAAAACTAACTAATGTCGTTCCTGCTACTGGCACGAATACAGAGAGAAAGTTGAAGAAGAGGGCTTTAATTACACTAAAACCAGACCTCACCAAGATCACAAAATCACCAATATGCAACAATTAATTGTTTTAATGATAATTAATTCATTAAATTAGATTTAGTAAAAAAGTTTTCACTTTTCATACCTCTTGAGGAAGCTCATAACAAAAAAGAAAAGAAGTTTTTGACCACCCACCAATAGATCTGTATAAAAGAAACGCACTTCCTAAAGCCATTTCATATTTAGAAATATGTTGCATTTTATTTTTATTTTTGTTAGCTCACAGATTGATATTTATTTGAATTTAATAAAAAAAAACAAATGGTTAAGAAATAAGCAGCAGATACAACAGCATCAGAGAGAACAGATTAAGCACATACAACAACATGATGAAATGAAATAAGAAGCACATACAATTAGAAGGATTTATGGATTTGGGTTAGAAGTGGAAATGTAAGATCAATCATCATAATTGCATATTTTAAACATTTTCCAATAAAATCAAAAGAGAAATCAACAACAAAAAATAATTGATTTAGTAGTTTTAATACCATGTTTATTTATAAAATTAAAAATTAGAAGGAAATGTAGACTGAATTAGGATATATGACTATTACTTTTGCAACATATACCAATAAATCAGATTTCTAGGCTAGTAAAGGGCTTTATAAAATACCTTTTTTCTTGGTTTCAATAACTGAAATAAGAGAATTGTGTGCGCTTTTTACCATGTTTCCCACCCATGAGGGACACATTTGTCGCTCATGACATCATCTCCACCAATCCTTCATTGATTAAAAGTTAAAACTCATCTCTTCCTATCTTTATAATAGTAAGGACCCCTGTCATCTTTTACATTCTACTTCCTAGATTGATTCTTTTGTTTCAGATTTGACTTTATGGTGAAATTAGTCGATAAAAAGAATTCAAATTTTATACCCAGTAGCAAACAATTAAGAAAATTAACCAAAGAAAATATATTATACGTAATACATTTCTAATGAATTCATGTAATCGATGGCTCTCTCTGTTGACCAAGAAAGTATGCACATTCATCTCGATATTCGGAGAAACCCTACAAACATTTCGATTCGAGTTTACGATGAAGATGAGAAATTCGAACTAATAGTTCGGGTAACTATAAAAAAAACTGTGAAAAATGACACTATGCCATCTAAAAAACATAAACCAATATACAAAAGGAAGTTTATTACGCATTTAACAACATATATTATATCTTCTTTTTACCCTTTTTCTTAATAAAACTTCACCACCTGCCAAAAGACACAAATACCCTTATTAGTGACTAAAGTATGGGAAAAATAGATTGTGTTATTTATTTTACTGGTGGTTTCTTCTGGGGATGATGTTGTCATTCAATCCCAATTCAACAGGAATAAATTGTTTCCATACAGGCAGATGAACAAAAAAAGGCATTTCCTCAAATAGGTTGTCGACACAAGCATATATATCACATCATTTTGAACGTTTACGTTATTAAGGGGTACTTGATCTGTTTTCATACGTTATTGAGATAAGAAAGTATGAAGAAAAAAATAAACCTCAACAGCAGCTGATACACCGACCTCTTCCATTTTTTCTCTTAAGGCAACATCTTGGATCGATTCATCCAATCCCTAACTTATCACCAAACAAAAAGAAATTAAAATCACACTGAATATTAAAAAAACTAAATAGTTTAGAAGACATGCCATGTAGCTTAATAGAAGTACGTGATAAAGATCAAATGCCATATTTACATTTTTTTTTTAAAAAAAGATCATGGAAATCAAACCTCTATAATAGTATAATACATCATCTACCTCACCTAGAAATAGGATATAAAAAGAAAATTAGATTATGATTTTTCCTATGTAATAAGTAACTGAGAGATAGAAATGTTACTTTGCTAATCCTCATTCCGTCTCCTCCAGATATGTCTTCACCCATCTTTGTCTGCAGAAACGAAAAAAGAAATCGAGAAATCAAAAGCAAACTGTGATGGTTAGGCTTTAGGTTTGGTCGGCTTCTTAGTGTCGGTAGCAGTCGACGGCTTCTTATTGTCCTTTTTTAGTTCAAGTTAAAAAACTCTGTTACCTGGAATACAAGCATTGTCACGCCATTCTTTGATAACCACGAGGAAGAAAAAAAGTCGTAAGCTACAATATTCTTCCTTTGAAGTAAGCTTCCTACACAATCACACAATCCAACTCAATCCCTTTCAAAATCGTAACAAAATATGGATTCAAAATCCAATTTTGGAATCAATTTCTACACATAATCAGTGAATGGAATGGATATAAAAGATACTTACCAATGGATTCAGCTTCGAAGTAGAAAGAAACAGGGGCTAATCCACCGTATAATACAACTTCGATTTCATGTATTTAAGTTTGCGGGTCAAGAAAATCGGAGGTTCATCTAAAGCCATGGCAACGCCTCCCCCACTGTTAAACTCGAAATAATTTATGGCTTTTTAGGTTGAAACATGATTTCTACAGTGGGGTAGAGGAGGACCGAGGAGATGAAAGAAGAGGCAGAGACACCGAAGATACGAAAAGGAATCGAGAGCACAACGCCTTAATCGGAAATGGAGAGGCATACAAAATTGAAAATTAAACCGACGAACTATTTACAGGCAGACAGAGGAGCAGATGGAGAGCGGTGGGGAAGGTGGAGGAGACATCAAGAAGCGTTAGTGAGATGGTAGGTACCGGATATATTCCATCTGAATAGATAGATAGAGGAGAGATAGGCGGTGAGGGTAAAAAAAAATGACAGCAATCAAAATATCATTGGGCGAGAAAATGGTACAAAACACGTGTCCACGAAGAATACAGATAATCGCAAAAAATATCGAAAACAGAAAATGAACTTTTTTTTAATATATATATATTTTGCTAACAACTTAGAAACTTTACTGTTCCTAAGTTGAGTTTAATAAGATTATATATATTTTAATATATATATATATATATATATATATATATATATATTATTTTCATTAGTTGGAAGGGAAAAACCATAATTTAATAAGATTAAATAATGAATTTGGTCAAAATGTGAATTAAGACTTAATAACATAAACTTTTATAGAAATATTGCAAGGAAGGGTTAAAAAGGTTATTATGGGAATAACTAGTTGTTTATGTTTTCATGTGTGGTTAAATTGAGAAAGTATGAAGTTAGGGGTAATGGTTGTTAACCGGAGGAGATAAAAAGCTAGTCGCTTTCTACTAATCCTATATTTTATTGAGAGAGAGAGAGCTATGGTGATTTGGGGGATTTGAGAGATATTAGAGGTGGATTTGAAGATAACTGGGATTTGTTCTTTTTATTTGTTGAGAGTTAGACTCAAACATTCCAAAATCCTGTAACGACCCAAAAATCAAGGGTAAAAACTTCATTTTTATATAGCTAAAACATTGGTACCATTTAATTCAAACATTTTAAATCATCATTAAGTAAAACATTTATCAGAGTTCATCCCAAAATCATTTATTGCAGAAATCATAGGTGTGTACGCTGCGATCAATCTGAGCCCTTCCTTTCCAAATCAATGATACCTGAAACCAAAACTGTAAACCGTAAGCACGAAGCTTAGTGAGTTCCCCAGAGCATACCCCACACAATCCACATAACCACATAAACCATATCAGCCATAACAGCTACACAAACCATAACAATCACATAAGCATGCATATACACATATGAAGATGTCATGTAAACCCTCCAAGGTCTTATTCACATACTCACATAAATCATATCAACTACACAAGCCATGCATATAAACATATAGGGAAGCCATGGATACCCTCCAAGGTCTTACATCGGGTGCCACTGGAACCCCCACGTGGTCTTAGTCCACTGCCATGGGAACCCCCGCATGGTCTTAACTAGGAAAGCCATGGGAACCCCCACATGGTTTTATATCACTGCCATGGGAACGCCCACATGGTCTTAGCCTGGGATGCCATGGGAACCCCCACATGGTCTTATATCTCACTGCCTCGGGAACCCCCCGAGGTCTTCCATGCAAGCAACATAGAGTCAACTAGCACACCGCATATCACATAAATATCTAGCATACCACATATCACATAATAGCTAGCATACCGCATAACACATATAACTAATTGCCATGGGAACCCCCACATGGTCTTAGTCTACTGCCTCGGGAACCCCCCATCCCCCCCCCCCCCCCCCCGAGGTCTTCTATGCAAATGTCATACTAACATAACACATATTCAGCTAGCATATCACATATCATAAAATGGGTCGGCATTGGTGCCTTAGACCCATTGGTATGGTGAGGAGACTCACCTCGCACTGTCGAAATCCCGTAGTCGAAACTCCAGCTGCTGGACTAACAGGGTAAGACCTAGTAAGTCCCGACGTACTAGTCCAACTTAACTACCTGCAATCATCATGTGCTTAAGCTGTCACGACCTTGAAATACCACAACCGCCCTCCGGATCAACCCTGGTCAACCCTGATCTGAGTCAACGTCCACAATCAAGGTCAACTGTCCATGTTGACCTCAACTCGTCGAGTCCAACCAGCCACTCGTCGAGTTCCTTGCTTATCTCGTCAACTCGCTGAGTCACTTGAGTGACTCGTCGAGTTACTTGATGTTCACGGCCGTAAACTCCCAACCGAACACCCATGACCGTGAACCCTTGGCCGTGAACACTTAACCGTGAATGAGAAAACCCTCTCGACTCGTCGAGTCACTTGCACGACTCGTTGAGTTCCCTTAGTCCATCATGTTTATGGCCCTTTCCAGTGGGACTCAAGGTCCCAAACTTCAGATCTATCCTCTACTAGTGTAGATAACACATAAAGTTGCAAACTTTACGTGCATGCAAGGCCTCACATGGCCATAATCACCAAAACTAACCCTCAAATAAGGTTTTCATGCATGAAAAGGGAATAATATTAATAAAAGGTGCAACTTTATGATATTTGGGACCTAAGAAGGTCCAGATCTGGAACCATATCCTTGTGATAGGTCCAGATCTAAGCTTGCTTACATTTCCGTCAAGAATGGCCATAAACTTCCTTAAGAACTCTAAGGATCTAAGCCTGAAAGTAACAGATTAGTACCTCAATCTGCTGCCCAACACGAAATAGATGCTCAATCTAGTACTTCTCCCTCGTTGCTTCCTCTTAAGGCTTGGAAATCTCCCCAAAATCCCAAGGATAAGCTCCCAAATGCTCCCACTTCACACTCCAGCGCGTTTGCGGCCGTAAATGGTCTTTTATGGTGTTAAGGGAGGCCACAAGGGTTTGTAATGATGTTTATATAAGGGTCAAACCCTAAAATTAGGGTTTTCCTTAAATAGCCCTGACTCGCCGAGTCGTCCTTCCGACTCGCCGAGTCTCTTCCGACCCGTGTCCAAAATGCCTCGACCCTACTCGACGAGTTGGACTCCCAACTCGCCGAGTCCATGCATAACATTTCCCCCCAAATGGTACTTTCTAACTGATACTCGAAACAGGTGTTACAAATCCAAGACCAAAAATTTCATTTTTAATTTAACAATTCATAAAACAGATTATTGAAAACATCATCAAGGTTATCTCATATCATAAAAATCCATAAGTTATATGTATCAAAAACATGTCATAGGATAGTAATGTCAGAGTACAAATCCCAAGAATATCATAATGCGGAAAATCGTGGTGTGATGCGCTGCAGTCATGTCGGCTCTCTTCCTTTCGAAGAAGAAGTACCTAAAACCAAAACTATAAACCGTAAGTACGAAGCTTAGTGAGTTCCCCCATCATACCATATAAACACATACTGTCAGGAATATCTGGGTGCCCGACCTACCCTGCTGAGCATACATGGGTGCTCAACCCACCCATGTTAGGCATATCGGGGTGCCCAACCTACCCTTGTCAGACATACCGGGGTATCCCACCTACCCCTTCCAGGATTATCTGGGTGCTCGACCTACCCTATGGTTTATCTCAACCGGCTACGGGGACTATTTCAACCCCTACCACTACCACATAATAACATATCATAAACATACTGCTAGGCATATCTGGGTGCCCGACCTACCCTCCGGTTTACCCCAACCGGTTACGGGGCCTAACCACCCCTCCTCCCACTATCACATATAACATGGCATATAACGTATAAATCACATCAGATAGTGGAAAACCAGACAATTATCACAAAGACAATCATCTCTACTCTATACTCCTACTGGTGGGCTGGCATTGGTGCCCTAGACCCACTCCTATAGGAAGGTAACTCACCTCGATAACTGGAAGTAGCTGCAAAAACTCTGGCTCCGGATATCACCCAACTCAAGCCCCTAAACATAGAAGAGTTCCTTTAATTCCCTTTTCATACTCATAACCCCTTAAGGGTCAACTTTGGTCAAAGTCAATGTCAAGGTCAACATCCTGGTCAAAGTCAACATTCTGGTCAAAGTCAATATTCTGGGTTGACTCAACTCGCCGAGTTGGTCCATCAACTCACCGAGTTCCATAAATCATAAACCCTGAAATCGTGACCCAACTCGTCGAGTTTCCCATGAACTCATCGAGTTTCTCCTATCACATAATCGAGACTTTCGAACCCCACTCGTCGAGTCCGTCCTGAACTCGTCGAGTCTTTCCTTTTTCAGAATCGGGGCACTTCGACCCAACTCGTCGAGTTCTGTAGTCTGTTAATCTTTCTTAATGGATTAAGTCACTAATTTTCATATCTAAGCTCCATACTTCAGATATAGACTGGGAATGTCCTTAGAAGGGTAAAGTTTCCAACTTTACCACTTAATACCCTTCCTCAAGTTATAAAGCTCAAACCCTAACTCTAAAAGGTCTAGATCTTGATCCAAAAGCCATCTATATTTTGAGATCGGGTGTATAAACAGAGATTTGGACCTTAGAGACTGGATGCACACGTAAAGCCTTCAACTTTCTCTTCATGCATGGCCCTTTGGAGCTTAAAAGGCCAAAATGGTAGTCTAAAGGTTGCATAGGGCTTCTATGGGCATAAAGTTTGCACCCTTATGTCATGCAAGCCCTTCAAGACCCTAGATCTGAAAGGGTATTCACTTGGGACGTCCAAGTCCCAAAAGCTAACATTCTTGGACCAAAATATGGATTAAATGCCCCAAAACTAGATCTAAGCATATAATAGACAAGATAGGAGCGTTATACCTTTGATGAACCAGAAATGAAGCTAGACTTCTGGATCTACTCTTCTCCAACACTTCCTTTCTCCTTCTTCAAGTATCTTCTTCTTAAAAACCACAAATAATGCACCAAGAATGGCTCAAAACTCTCAAAAGTGTAATAGGGTTTCGTGGGTAGGGTTTGGGACGATGGAGGCTGTAAATGAGGCCAACCTTTGGAGGTTAAGGTGTTTAAATAGGGTACAAAACCCTGAAAATTAGGGTTTCATTCTGTTAGTCCTGCTCGTTGAGTTGAGGCTCTCAACTCGTCGAGTAGACTTCCCATCCCGCGTCCAATTTACATCCCTACTCGACGAGTTTGGGGCCTCCAACTCGTCGAGTTTCTATACAAAAACCAAATTTTTTGAGTGAAATGCATACTAGGAACCGGGCGTTACAATTCTCC